TGAACCACCTACTATACTAGAAACCCCTCCCTGGGAGCTGAGGGAGCAAAAGGGAGGTCTAAGACACCTGCACGGAGCTTCAGCATCCATGAGAGGGTGGTGCACACGGTTGATGCTGCTAGTTACCCAGAGTTTAAATCGGAGCCCAGTGTGGGCTGCACGCCACAAACCAAAGCCCTCTGGCCAGCCACTGATGATGGGGATGGGAGCCGCTGTGGGGTGTGAAAAGCTTTCCTCGGCCCTGCTCGGGCTGCTGGTTTAGCAGCCACAAATGTGACAGGAGCGCTAGGAACGTGGGAAAATCCTGACCCTTTCCTCTTTGATAAAAAGCGGGCGGAGGACCCAGTCTGGCGGCGGGCTCAGCTTCAGTTTTTGCACGGGTCTGAGCCGCCGGGCGGGGCGGGGGCGGAGCTGGGGGCGGGACCCGGACGGGGGCGGGTCCGCAGTGACGTACAGCGGGCCGGGACGCGCGGAGGCGGTGGCGGTACCTCCTCCTCTTGCTGCCGAGCCCCATCCCCCCGCGGCCGGCCGGTTCCAGCCTGCACCCCGTGTCTGTGCCAGTGCCCCCTCCCCCGGGCCCCGCCATGGGCCTCACCGTGTCCGCGCTCTTTTCGCGGATCTTCGGGAAGAAGCAGATGCGGATCCTCATGGGTGAGGCAGATCGAGCGCGCGGCCCGGACAGGAGCTCCGGCCCCCGCGCAGCCCTCCCGCCCCCGCGTACCTCCCGCCCAGCTCACCAGATCTCTGATCCTGAGTCACCCACCTCCTAAACCCTGGGGCCGCTATTGTCGGGAGGGTTACAGTCTTCAGTGCCGCCCCCGGGGCCTGAGACCGGGAGCTGCGGGCCTGGGCGGGGTGACGCTCCCTCCGCCCTAGTCCGGCTGGTAAGAAGGGAGGATTCCGCCCTTGGAAACGACTTTTAAAAGGAGCGCGGCCCTCCTCCTGTGACCTGACACCCCCAGCCCTCTCCCGCCCCTCTTCTCCCGCTTTGGGGTCAGTAGTTGGCGCTCACCAACCAGACTACCCTCAAGGCCCGGAAGGTGGACAACCTCGCGCACCTGGAGGCACTCGGGCTCTCCGCCCCCGGCACTGTCAGCTGTCCTGGGCTCTCCCCTTTCCTGGTCCCTAGGGGGCTCCCTCACGCTCATCTCTGTCTCTATGCCCCTCTCCTTTGCAGTTGGCTTGGATGCAGCTGGCAAGACCACAATCCTGTACAAGCTGAAGTTGGGAGAGATTGTCACCACCATTCCCACCATTGGTGAGTCTGTAAGCAAGATTGGGAGGAGAAGGTGCAGGCGGCTGACCTCCTCGGGGTCTACTCCCCATTCTCCATCCAGTAGTGGGAGCTGACACCAGATACAGCTACCTGAGAAGTGGGTCACAGTATCTGTACGCGCTGGGTGGTGTTGAGGAGGGCTGGATGTCACCTAGCCCCGCCCCGTCTGTGGACTGCTGGTCCTCTGGGCTTCTGTTCCTTTGGGTTTTGATCACTGCCTTCTGGTTTTGTGTCCCTGCTGAATCCACGTAGTTTTAGCGCGGCCCTTCCTTTCTATACTTTTTTCTCATATTTTTCCCAATCATCTGCAGGATTCAATGTGGAAACAGTGGAATACAAGAACATCTGTTTCACAGTCTGGGACGTGGGAGGCCAGGACAAGATTCGGCCTCTGTGGAGGCACTACTTCCAGAACACTCAGGTGGGGGCGGGGGTATTTCCCCAACCCCAGGGGAGGTGGTGTTCAGGTTAGGAAGACCCAGATGTTGGCCAAGGCTGGGCCCCTGTGCTAGGAAAAAGCCTTACCCCCTTCAACCTTCCTTTTGTGAGCTTGCCTCTACTCATCCTTCAGCCACCTTTTGTGTGTTCTGGGAAGCAAGGTTCTGGGTCCGGAGCTCAGGCTGCCTTTGGCTCTCATCACATGTCTTTCCCTGTCCTCAGGCTTGTCTTTTAGCTAGATTTCTTGCCTGAGAGCAGAAGTTGTATCCTTTGCAGGGTGTCTCCAGTTTGTGCTAAGACGTCTGCAGAGCCTTAGTGGAAGTTTACTAGATGAAAAGGGTTTAGACACAGAAAGAGAAGGAGCCAGACTAAGGTACGTCCTGGGCGGGAGTGATTGCTTCTCCTTCCCTTCTGCCTTCCCCCCGCCCAGGGCCTCATTTTTGTGGTGGACAGTAATGACCGAGAGCGCGTCCAAGAATCTGCTGATGAACTCCAGAAGATGGTGAGCACTCAGGGCCCTGGGAACTGAGCCCTCAGGGTGGAGACAGAGACCTCCATCCTGGTATGAAGGTCAGGAAATGCCTCACAGGCCTCGAATGTGTGTTTCTCTTTGTGAACACAGATACAAAGAGACTCTCACCCTGTTTTGAACTTGGGTCAAGTAACAAGTATAGGACTTGAATATTCATGTCTTTTCATCTGGGGAGAGGGGAATATGTGGTGGAGAGAAATATCATCTTACGTTCTTGCTTTTGCATTTGTAAATGCTGTCATTTTGACTAGGGCATTTACTCAAATTTAAAAAAAAGGCCCTTTCTGAACTTAAGGCCAAGATGGCCGGCTGATTTATAACTCTGTGTCTTGTGTTCAGCAGTAGACTAGACAATACCATGTTTTTCCCACTAATACCAGAAGGTAGAAAAGGGAGTTCCCCTACATAGCAGGTAAGAGGGAGCCTTGGGACCCCATAGGATGCCAGATTCCATCCCCTTGGCCTCTCTCAGCTGCAGGAGGACGAGCTGCGGGATGCGGTGCTGCTGGTCTTTGCCAACAAGCAGGACATGCCCAATGCCATGCCCGTGAGCGAACTGACTGACAAGCTGGGCCTGCAGCACTTGCGCAGTCGCACGGTGAGAACCCTGCCTCTCCCAAGGGAGCCATAGACTGGGGAGGAAGTAAATGCATCCCCCGCCCCCCCCCACTTTATTCCCTGCTACTAACCTCTTTCTTCCCTTCTCCCCACAGTGGTATGTCCAGGCCACCTGTGCCACCCAGGGTACAGGCCTCTACGATGGGCTGGACTGGCTGTCCCATGAGCTCTCGAAGCGCTAACCAACCAGGGGCCGGCCCCTGCTGCCCAGAAGCTCCCGCGTGCATCTCCGGGATGACCAGACTCCCGGACTCCTCAGGCAGTGCCCTGCCCTTCTGCCCCACCTCCCGCAGACACAGGCCTCTGCTCCTGCCCCTCCTGCCTGCATGTTCTCTCTGTTGTTGGAGTTTGGAGCCTTGCTCTCTGGGCACAGAGGGGTCCACTCTGCTGCCTGCTGGGACCTGTGGAAGGGGCTTCCAGGGCTGAGGATCCTTCTTCTAGAGGAGGAGCAGGGACCTGGGTTTACTTTTGTTTTTTCCCATTTTGAGCATACCCTTGGGGCCAGGTGGGGAGGGCAGGTGAGGGCTCCGGGTGGTGCTATGAAATGGCACTGGATATTGAGTAATAAATTTGCTGTGGTTTGTACGTGGTGTTGTCTGTAACCTAGAAGGGGGGGCTGGGTAGTTGGGTGCAAAGAGACAATATAGCAGAGGCTCGAAGCCCCTAAGGCTCCAGGGCCAACCCCCACCTCCCCAAGCACACGCATGTGCATTGCTTCCTTCATCCTGCTCAACTTCTCTCTCCTTATTCTTAAGGCTGGAAGTACTTCAGGGGTTCCAGTGGAGGAAATGCTATTTCTCCAATTCCAAGGGGCCTTTGTGGAGGGTAACAGATAGGATCTACCTTAATGCTTCTGTAAACCATGTCACTCTCCTATCCGTCTCCTAGCTAGCTGCGGTTTTGAATGACTACTATGCATATTAAAATTTGAGGGGGAGGAAACATTCATTAAAAATAAGGGTCTTAAGGTACACTTGGGGGAAAAAAGTGATTCATCAAGTCTGGACTGAGAGCCAAGAAAACATATCTTTAAAAAGTCACCCAGCTGATTCTGTGGTATATTATAATGCCTTATTTCATAGAACATTGGTAGGGCTTTGGGGATGACAGTTCCTTGCTGTGCACCACTGAGACTTTCTACCTGGAAAGACACCTCCCCACCCCATCGATGGGGAATAGGAATCAGGACTGTGGGCTGTTTTCCAAGCCGGGTTTACTCTGCCCACTTCCTTTTGCATCCCAGCAAAGTTGAAACAAAACCCACCATCACCGCCATTATTTCTTTTTGCCATTCTCTCTTCTTTCATGTCAGTTTCTCCAGGTTGTGGGCTGGTTTTCTCCATGAGCTGTGTATGAAGTGAGTTCCAGAGGCTAATGGTGGGCAGAGACTTCTTGGGGGTCTGGGCTGGTGTTCTCAGAGGCAGCACTGGCTGCACAGGGGCAGCGCAGCTGGGGATTATGACGGCACTTGGGACTTTCCCCTCTTAGCCATTCTCTTCACCCCGCTCCTGAGCCAGCCTTTCCTAATCACTATGAGTCATTTGATCCTTGCTGGTATCTATCTAGAGTATCCTCCCCTTCCCTGAAAAGTACCTTCTGAGATATTCTGGCCTCATCCTCTCAAGGGCCATAAAAATTAATCGATTTTTCTTTGATATTATGCACTCCAGAAACACTTGAACCTCAAGGGAGCCAGGTAGAACCCACTTCATGGGAGGAAAAAGGATGACTTCTATCCTCTGATTAAAAAGAGAGACAGACGTGAAGCAGGGGAGGGACTTGCCTGAAGTCACAGGTGGTCACTAGCACAAGCTGAAATTCTGATTCTCAGTCTTAGCCCACCTATTGAGGGGGCGGTATGCGGGCCTAATGCTGGGGAGGCCTGCGCCCACCTCTTCTGATGCTGAGCCAGTGTCCTTGCCCCACTATGGCGGGATAAGGGGCAGCTGTCACAGTCACAATGCTCCCGGGTCACAGAGGTGCTGGGCCCTAGTCAGCCTCTGCCTGGAAAGTTCCCTCTGGGAACATCTTCCGGTGGGTACTTCGGGCCTGATTCTGGGCCCTTATGGCCTTTGGAACCTCACCACTGGGGGGAAGGCTGGGCCGGACGGAGTCATCCCCTGCAGTGCCGGCCCCATGGATGACATGGAGTGGACACAACGGCGGCCCAAGCCAGAGGACCTAAGGGTTGGGCTCATCAGCTGGGCAGGATCCTACCTCACTTATGAGCCATATAAGAATACAGTCACCGCTACTGCAAAGGGTTTGGGCCGGAGACAGGTAACAGAGTAAACCTGTACTGGAACCAGTTTTCCCAGTGACTACGCTCTCCTGTGGGGCAGGGAGCAGGGTGGCGGGGAGAGTGCACTCTCAAGCTAATCACTTTCCTGGCCTCTGCCATTTCTAGGTCAAGACCCTTCCACCCCAGCCTCTTGCCCACAGGTCTCCATTGCTCCACCTCCCCCTCTCTAAACCTGTTCCAGGAGGTGAAGCCTCAGCCCTGGCTTTGCTCCCTTGTCTTGCTCTGGCTGTCCCCTTCCCTCCAGTCCAGCTCAGAGTGGTTGCATCATCACAAAGAAGAGAGGTGGAGAGCTCAGGCTGCAAGGCCGCACTGCGGGCCTCTGGAAGTTAAACCAGTGGAGTTCCTGCAAAGCCTGTCTTTCCGTTCTGGCTGTAGTTCGGGAATGGGGTACTCAAGAAGCCCTAAGAGAGTGGGTTCTCATTTTAGTGCAGGATGTAGGCTCCTCTGGGGTGGTACTGCAGAGTGAGACACTAGTGAGGTCCTCTTGCTTATAACAGGATTCATCACAGCCAAAGCAAACAATTGTATCTCAGCTGTCCGTGCTAACTTCGTCCCTGAGCCCGAGCCTGCCTGTAAGAGGTCTTGCTTTTCTGCTGCCCTGTCGGGGAGGTGGGCAGGAGGACGAAAGGGCTGGCTGAGTGTGCTGTCCAGGGGCAACAGTGAGAGAGAAAGAAGTAGGACTTAAACCAAAGCATTTCTTTAAAAATTAGATATTGAAGAAAGCGGTCAAGGAAGAGAGGGAGGCTTACCTTTCAGTAGCTGGAGGAGGTGGGCATTGATAACTTCTCCTGGGATACTGAGAAGCCCAATGGCTCCAGTGCCCGAGGTGCCAAGGGATCTTTTGATTGAATGAGGATGTGGAGAAGCCAACAGCAAGAAGGCCCGTGTGGACGGAAAGTTGGTTGGTCTCCATGAAGGCGCTGGCTTTAGGACTCCTTGGTCTAGTCACTTGGCAGGACTGATTTCCTTCTTCTCCCTCCCAATACCTCCAGACCTGGGAAATCCTGGTCAGCAATGAGCATGACACACAGGCCGTGGTACGACTAAGGGGCTTGCAGGGCCTCTACCTCCTGTGTGAGGCAGATGGCTCTCTGTGCTATGACCGGCCAAGGACCAGCCACCACGGATGCTTCCTACTCCGTTTCCACCGCAACGGCAAGTGGACTCTCCAGTGCATAATCAGTGGTCGTTATCTGGAGTCTGATGGCCAGGACGTGTTCTGCAACTCCCGGGTCCTCTCAGCTTATCACATGTGGACCCCCCGGCCAGCCCTGCATGTCCACGTGATCCTCTATAGCCCCCTCAACCACTGCTATGCCAGAGCCGACCCCACTGTGGGTCGTGTCTGGGTGGACGCACCAGTTCCCTGCCTGGGGGAATGTGGATTCCTGTTACATTTCCAAGATGGATGCTACCACCTGGAGACCTCGACACACTGCTTCTTGTCCCACTTAGACCGGCTGGTCTCCCAACCCTCAACACAGACTGCTTTTCACATGCAAGTGCGGCCTGGAGGGCTCGTGGCACTGAGCGATGGAGAAGGAGGCATGCTGTACGCACAGGGCCCACGCCTGCTCCTGGGCCTGGGCTCCAGTCCCCACAGGGGCGAGGAGTGGTTCATCCTACAGCGTTGCCCCACCTGGGTCAGCCTCAGGGCAAGGACACGGAAGTTCCTCTCTGTCATCTACGGCAAGTGCTGGGTCCAGCGCAACCATGGAGCATGGAGGGAAGAAGGGAGGGAGGGCTAGCTGCTGAACAGAGGAAAATGTGTTTGGGGTCAGTGAGGATTTTTGAACCTGCTTATAAGGAAGATCTAGGGGTCCCAAGAGCATCTCTATGCCATGGAGAAGGGCAATAAAGCAGGGGTATGGGCTTTAAGGGAAAGTGGCTTGGGTCTTCTCCAGGCTACTATGGTTCAATAGAAGGTGATGCAGGTCGAGGAGGGAAAGCAGAGGGAACCCCAGCATAAAGCATGGAGGAGGGGCTGAGACTGAGGGTGAGAACAGACTCAGACTTATTATGACATGTTTTTCCTCTGCAGATGTTGAGGTATATGCTGCCTCTGAGCACTTAACTTCAATGTCATTGTTCCAGTTTGAAAGTGATAATGAGAGCCCCGCTTTGCAGCTTCGTTCAGCCAATGGTTGCTACCTAGCCCAGGTAAGACCTTGGCTTTCTGAGCAAGAGAACCGTTGAGTTCTCTCCCTATAGACATGCTTCTCTTTCTTCAAGGCAGATGACCATATGGTGAGGGGAATCGAGGAGGCCCTTGTCAATAAACATTCATTTTTACCCAATGGGCCTATTTGCATCCAATGGGGCCTCTTTTTTTTTTATCAACTTTATTGAGGCATAACTTATAAACAATAAAATACATCCATGTTAAGTGTGTAATTCAACACATTTTGACAAATGTATACACCTACAACCATTTAACAAGTTAGAGACTATTCCCACCACTACAGAAGTTCCCTCTTGCCCCTTTCCAGCAAGTTCTCTCCGCCCTTGCCCTTCCCCCTACTGCTCATAAGTGTTCTGCCACTGTGGATTACATTTAGATTTCTCTACTCCAGAATTTCATATAATTGGAATCATATAGTATTACGGTATGTATGCTTCTTTCACTCAGCATAATGTATTTGAATTCATCTACAATGTTGCATGTATCAGTAGTTTATTCCTTCTTATCATTAAGTAATATTTCATAATACTATAATATTAGTATTATAGTATTATGCATAATACTAGTAATATTGCATAAATACAAACATAATCTGCTTATCCATTCCCTTGTTAATTACTTGAGTTGTTTCCAATTTGGGCTCTTATGAATAAAGTTGCTACAAACATTTATGCATGAGTCTTTTTGTGGGCCTATTTTTTTCAATTATCCTGGGAAAATACCTAAGATTGCAAGTACTGATAAGAGTGTGTTTAACTTTTAATATGTCAAATAGATTTCTAAAGTGACTCTGTGTACCATTTTATATTCTCAGCAGCCATGTATGAGAATTCAACACTTGGTATTGTCTTTTTAATTTTAGCCATCCTAATGGGTATGTAATGACACTTTATTATAGCTTTAATTTACATTCTCTTATAATTGATAATTTATGAGCATCTTTACATGTGCTTATTGAGCATTTGTATATTTATTCTGTGAGGTGTCTGTTCAAATTTTTTGCCTATTTGTTATTCGGTTGTTGGTCTTATTAAATAATAAGAGTTTCCTATATGTTCTAAAGTCAAGTCTTTAGCCAAATATATGTATTGTAAATATTTTCTCCCAATCTCTGGCTTGTCTTTTCATTTGCTTAACAGTGTCTTTTGAGTAGCAAGTTTTAAATTTAATGAAGTCCAATATCTCCATTTTATAAATGATGAGTGGGTTGTTTTTATGTTGGTTTTTTTGTTTTTGTTTTGGTCCCAAGAAATCATTGCCTACCCCAAAGTGGCAAAGAATTTTTCGCTCATTCTCTTTTAGATGCTTTATATTTTAGGGTTTACTTTTATATCTAAGATCCATTTTGAAATGATTTTGGAGTCTGAACCCAGGTTTGTTTCGCTCCACTTGGATGTCCGGTTCCCTTTCTGATACTGGGCTCTGAGATACAGCACAGACTGGGCAAGTGAGAGAGCTGAGGTCACAGCATGTTTTCCCAAAAGACCTGAAAGCATAAGGGATACCCTGGGAGAACGAAAAAGGCTGGAGGGTGGGATGTAGGGAAAGGGGATCTAAGATTAAAAATGATGGAAAGAAAGCTATTTTCATTCCTTGCTTCCCTTTTCTGTTCCCAACATTATCTCCAGCGGCGCCACAGGGCGGTGCTGGCAAATGGGCACCCGCTGGAGTCTGACACCTTCTTCCGCATGCACTGGAATTGTGGCAGGATCATCCTGCAGTCTCCCAACGGACGCTTCTTGGGTATCGCGCCCAACAGCCTGCTGATGGCCAGTGCCACCATCCCAGGTGAGATAAGCAGCCCCCTGCCAGCTTACCCCAAGTTAGAGGTGCTTTCAAGGGAGCTGGGATATGTCGGAACAAGCACTGGAATTGGGATCATTACAATGGGGGTGATGTCCAGTCTGCCTTCCTCACAGGATTATCATGAGGGTTAAATAGATTCACACATCTCAAAGGAAGGGAGAATAATTAAAACTTGTAAGTGCTTTCACAAACATTTCAAAGCACCTAGCATATGACCTCGCACACTAAACGTAGGTGTTCACTAAATGTTAAAATATCGACAAAGCCTCCTGTAATCAGTGAACCTCTTTCTTGTTTTCATCTGAGAAGCACCTAGAGGCAGCCCACCCCAGATAACGCCTTCCTATTTCTTTCAGGCCCAAATGAGGAATTTGGGATCCGATTAGCCAACCGCCCCTTCCTCATATTGCGAGGTCGGTATGGATATGTGGGCCTCTCTCCAGAACGCGACCTCATGCAGTGCAACATGGATCAGCCCAACTGCATTCACCTGCTGCCCTGCCGCCAGGGCATCTACCACTTCCAGGGTGAGTGGCCCCTCATGCTTCCCCTCAGCTCACAGTCTAGTCCCCCCTGAGCCCCAATCCAGACACCAGGGCCTGCTACTCAGGGCCTGTTCATCATAGAAGGAAACACAGAATTTCCGTTAGTTTTCACGCTTCAAGGACCCCAGAGCAGGTTGGCAGAACAGAGACCAATCCTCCTGTTTTTCCACATAGGGATCTGCCAACGCACCTGGGGTGGGGCGGCCAGGGAGGGTGGCATGTCTCCTGGGAACCCCCTCAGAGGCTGCATTGCTGGAGGACGCCCTTCCGGAACGGCCCACCAACCAGAGCTCTTCCCTCCCCAGCACAGGGTGGATCCTTCTGGTCAATAACATCCTTTGGCACCTTTCGTCCTTGGGGAAAGTTTGCCCTCAACTTCTGTATCGAGCTTCAGGGGAGCAACTTGCTCACAGTGCTGGCACCCAATGGCTTCTACATGCGATCCGACCGAAGCGGCACCCTGTTGGCAGACAGCGAGTACATTACCAAAGAGTGTATTTGGGAATTTTAGGTAAGGTACAGAGGGTAAGGACCTGGCATGAGGGAGCAGGAGCTGAGGGGCAAGAGAAGGGAGAGAGGGGTGTGGCATGTGAGAATAAGACTAAAATGCACCGTGGGCTGACTTCTGTCCCACAACCTGATCAACTCCCGATAAATACAGTGGCACCTCGGTACTCGTCGCTTAATTCATTCTGGGGCTCATGATGAGTGCTGAAACCTACAAATACCTAACGCTGAAGCATTTTCTCTTGCCGGGTGGCCTTGTGACTCATACAAGTTCTAGCAAGTGCGAGGAGTCCCGAGCAAACACCCAGTGCTGAAACTTTCTTTTTTTCTCATCAAAATGTGAGGAGTACAGTGTTTGACATGTTCTGAAGCCGACAGGCACTGAGGCATGACTGCATTCCAAATCTGTGCCTTTCCTCTGGGGGCTTCCAACCCTGGATGTGCTGGGCAGAGGAGGAGAAATCGGATCTAGGTTCCCCTGCTTATGCCGCACATAATAGTACGTGCAAGCAAGCCTGCGGGGGACACGATGCGGTGTACTTGTGTATCTGTGTCTCTTAATTAAGATGCAGTTTCGCACTTGCCATCCTCTCCGCTTGACCTCTGCTGCTACTGAGGTGCTGATGGCTCCTAGCTATTTATCTGCAGCTTTGACCCTTCTTCTGAACTATAACCTCATCTCTTTCTAACTTTCTGATTGACAACTGACCTGACTTCATCCCACCATCCCTTCGAAATCAGCCCCCTCACTATCCGCTCCGAAAGGTAATTATTTCCGCCCTCCCCCTGGTCGTCCAGGGCATTGCCGTCCTCGCAGAGCTCAGGCTCCAGACCGTCTCGCCGCCTCTCCTTCCTCCCACTCGTTCCCTTCACCAAAACCCCTGAAAATTCTTGGCTACCCTCTTAACAACCCCTCTCTAGGGTTAGCGCCTTCTTAATCACCATTACTCCCCGCGATTCCAGGCTTTTCACCAAAAGCTGGCACTGCAACAAGGGCTTTCCAGCAGCGCTCGCCACCGCCGGGGCCGTCCCCACCTGATCCGCTCTCCGCGCCAGGTTCTCTTTCCTAAAATGCCGCCTCCCTGCGGTCACTCCCTGGGCACACAGCTCTCCAGGGCGGGCCCCTCACTGCTCCTGGGCCTTTCCCTTTGCAATCCGCCTCTTGCTTGGCTTGGAAAGTGATGAAGAGGTTGTACTGTAGAAAGAGCTTTGGTTTTGATATCGTACAGACCTGGAACCGAGACCTAGAAAGGCTTGGTCTTTGGGGAAATTCCTTTAACACTTCTAAACCTTGGCTTTCTTATCTGTAAAATGGGATTAATATCTACTTCGTAGGATGGTGTGAAGGTTAAATGACAATATGAACCTAGCTACAGACCCCTCAATATGTGTTTGCTCCTTTCCTCCATTTTCTACCAGTTTTCTACACAAAACTCTTACTATGGCCAAACTGGGAAAAATAAAATGAAATTCCACTGAATGTGTTTTCTGATCTATTCCATGAAGGGCTTGGATTGAACTAAATTTCTCAGGCTCCTTGCAGGTCTGACATTCTAGTGGATAGTGTATTGTAGTGGGTAAGAGCTCACTTCTGGACTCAGGACTGGGTGGCAATTAGATGTTTATCAGCTAAATCTCTTTGACCTTTGGCAAATTAACTTTCATGGGTGAAATGGGAATATAGTATTTATCTCGTAGGATTGTTGTGTTACCTGAGATAATGATGGTACGATGCTTATTAAGCAGTCCAACACCTAGTACACTTCACGTAGTAAATCTTACCTGTTGACTGCAGTCTCCCTAAGAACTCTGATGGTATTTCTGCACCATTAATTGGATTTTTTTTTAAAAAGCAGTAATTTCGACTGCTTTTTTTCTATAAATTAACTTCACCTGTCCCCGTGATTCTCTCATGAAGAAAGCGACAAATCACTTTATTCTCTCTTTTCCCATGGGGTGTTACAGGTTTTTCCCTAAAAGCCAGAGATCAGCAAATGACTGACTGAAGGTTTCTATTTCCTCTTTCCCCTCCAGGTCAGTGGGATGCCACCTACCGAAATCCAGTTCCTCCAAGAGAAACTACTACACTAAACAGAACAGAAACTCCAGAGTCAGGATCCGTGAGAAGAATATCTGTTACACAACTTTTCCTACCCAGTTTAGCAAAACATCTGTTTCAAACAATACATCAAAAAAGGCCACCCCCAAGACCTTGGTGTGCATCTTACTCAGTACAAAGTAGGGGTCTCAATGGTGCGGGGGTGGGGGTAAGGTTGGGACTGAGGCCCCAGGCCAGTCTGAGTTCTAGCCAGAAGAGGGGAAGCCAAATGGTAACTAGAAGATCAATGGCTCTTCCGTGGATCCTCCCCACCTCCACGGAAACCACCAGATTTTTCCCAGTGATACCATGAGGAGTTAACCTTGCCCTGAATCCAGGATTCTGAATGAAGGATTCAGAATCCAGATATGACTAATTGTCCTTTGGTCTAGAAAGAATGAAGGATTATTAATCCTACGGGCACAAGATAATGGTAATAATACCTTATGCCTATATAGCTTACGCCCTCACCACCACTCCATCACCCCCGAAGTTTACCAATCATCCCACCTTATTACCTTTGGCCCAGTCAGTTGGGCACAACAGGTACTTTCGCCATCACGGCCCACCTTTTACAGGGAGCTGGGTCCCATCCCATGACTGAGACCCCTGGCTCAATTCTTTAATTAGAGAGGACTCTAATGTCCCCTCCTCTTTCCATCAAAACATAGCTTCCAAAGTGACTGTCTTGCACTGTCTTCATAACATTGCTGTTTATCTGCTTGCCATCTGCCCTATTAATGTTTTTATTGACATAGACTCTTAAGTACATTTATTTATAAGGAATATTTTAATCACTATCATAAAATGGAAGACCAGAATTGCTTGCCATAAACAGAAACTGACCATAAAAATAAATACAATGCAAACAAAGTAATGTTATCAATCCTAGTTAGAGTTTTCTGTTCCCTGCTCAAGGCTCAGAACCTGAGGCTCCCCCTTCCCTCTGTTTAAAAAAAAAAAAAAAAAGATTAACAGCTGTTACAGAGGTATTAAAAAGTAGGACTAAAATGAAGAATTTCTCTTTGATGCAATCAAAATCGAAAGGGAGGTGAAAGGGACTTATTTTCTCATTTCTGACTCAGTATTATTTAAAGCAGCATCCACGCTTTTTTAGAGCACCTCCTTTCCTGGAGCACGTTAAGAACAGGCCACAGATAAGGAACAGAACACAGTCTTCAGAGAGATAGGAAGTTGTAGGTCATTGAACTCAGCATCTCTCAACATTCCATAAGTATATATCCACACTCAGATGGGCAGACATGCATGTGCACAGGGACACATACACACATCCTTTCTCTCTTATGCCCTGTTCCTCAAAAGTGGCCATCCGTTCTCCACTTGATGTGCTCAGCCATGGGGTCTCAGCTGACAGCTTCTTCCACTGCTGATGTCGGTTCTGTCACTGAAGTGAATGGCTTATTCTCAGATGGTGCTATGCAGATTGTCACCCGACAAAGCCTCGCCCACTTCCCCAGGCAGCCTGTCCAGCAGGCCTCCAGCCAGAGGGTACTGAAGGCAGGGCAGGGACAGGGTACGCTCTGTTACCCTTGGGAGTGCGTTCTAGAGCTGTGCTGCCCCCTTAGAACGTCCTGTGCAGATGAAAATGTTTACTGTCCAGTACGGTGGCCTCAGGCCACATGTGACTATTGGGCATTTGATATACGGCTAGTGCGAGTGAGAAGCTGAATTATTCACTGTATTTAACTTTAATTAAATTTTAATGGCCACATGTGGTTGGTGGCTACTTGCTGAACAGCATAGTTCTAAGAGTGTCCGATGATAAAGAGACCTCTTGAAGGAACACTTCCCGACTGGTACCTGGAGTAAACAATGATGTCCCCGCTCTGCCACCCTTTTGCATCCTCGTTCTACCTCTGCCCTTGAAAAGGGGAAGAGTTTGGAGGGATAATTCCATCCTCCACCCCAACTACCCCCTTTGTCCCATATCCTTTTTTTCCCCTCCATCCCAAGGCTTCCCAGGAGGAGCCTAGAGATTTCTCTCCAGGAAACAACATTGAGCCAATTGGGAACTGACTGCCAAGAAGCAGCAAGCAAACATGCCCCAGGACCATGTATAAAGGGACAGCAGAATATGAAAATGACATTCCCATTGTTTGCTACTATGCAAAATAAAATTACACATTCATTAAAGAATTAATGTCTATGTTTTTAGATTAAGGAATGACTGAAAATTTTCTCAGATGTGATAGTGGTGGTGTGGTTATATAAGAAAAGTTTCTTATTTTTTGGAGATGGATGCTGGAAGACTTAGGGGTGATGTGCTATGATGTGTTATCAGTGTGTGTGTGTGTGCATATGTGTGGGTATATGAGCACTCAAATACCAAGATAGATACATACATACATATGTAGATGGGTAGATAGCTAGATAAATACATATATATACATGGATGCATATACAGTTACATAAATACATTAGCTATGATTGATACATACATACATAGGGCAAACTTTATAATTGTTAAATATAAGGGTGGGAGTATGAGTGCTCATAGGAAAAACATAAAAGACAACAGGAACTGCTGCTAATTTAAAATGTTTTTATTCCTGCCAAGCAGGGGCCTTTTAAGACCACTGTGAGAATGGGTGGGCATGGCTCCTCCAGCCCCTCAAAACAGGTAATACCATGGAGGGGCAGCAGGGCAGGACCAGGCAAGGTCTGCAGGTGAGGAAGAGACGCAGGTAGGAGGACGGAGCGGTGGTGTGCTTGCGCAGGCCGGCCTTAGGCCATCCCCACCCCGCCTTCTCTCCATTCTGGCCCTCCGCCTTCCTCACAGGCCTTGCAGTGGGGGGGAGCCAAGCCAGAGCAGGGCCTGAGGGGCACCAAGACTGTCGCGGGGGGCAGTGGAAGGGAGGCCAAGGACGGCAGAGCAGGACTGAATC